TTCTACGTAACGAAAACGAAACTAAGGTAAGGAACGACATCGTCGTCGTACGGACGAACAACTAGTACTATTACTACCTACTAGTATATTATATATATATATATATATATATATATATATATATATATGGGGTGCGGTTCGTATAGTGTGTCAACCTTAAACTATTGAAGTAAGGTGCACCTTGAAATTATGCCAAAAATGTAATTTTGGTACCATAAAGCCTTGTGATGATATAAAAATCTATTGTTGCCCCCAATCATGAAATTCAAAATTTAAGAAATGGCGATTGACTAGATAATGTGTTAGAATATGAACTATTTTTAGGACTAAAAATCCTCTATGTTTATGAATCTCGAGATCGAGATGATCGATTTGAGGGTTTTCCATTATAAGAATAGCCATATCTAGTAGATTTTTTTGGTGCACTGTACAGTATAAGGTTGACCCCTTATATAAACTTTTTCCTATACCAAATAATCAAATCAACACCTCAAAAATTTCACTAGAAGAAGTTGTTTCGATGCTCAAAAATCTTTAAATTGATCATCTACACCTCAAGATGCATGGACATGAGAAAAAATAGATTCCAGGTCTTAGAAATAATACATCACGTAATGCAATTTTAGACCGTAATTTTTGAAGGTGCACCGTAATTTGATTGTTTAGGGCCTCAGCTTCATACAAATCACCGCCCTAATTGCCAATAATCACAACAACATCACTTATTATTGATGTTATTCACTGGTAATTACTGTTGCGCACTCAATAGCCACCTTTCAGGCCAAGATAGTGACAAGAAACAAAATGATCTAAATGTTGCTCTTTCAAATTGTAAATATTCATTATGCCAAGACCAAAAAGACAAACAAGTTCTGATCCTTACCCAAAATGAGCATAGGTGTTCATCAATACTGTATTATTGATTTAGAAACCACCAATCCAAATTGGGAATGGCCAACCTGGATTGAAATCGATGGGCACCGAACCTTATTTTCTCATAAATGGGAATCGGTTTGACCTTATTTTTCTTCATAAATCGGAATCGTCCGGGTTCATTGTGACTCTTCTAATTTTGTCACATAATGCGAGTCACTTCGATAAATCACCTGGTTCCTATTTTTTTATTTCCTTTTTTTTTATTCTAAAATATACAAATTTAAAATATATATTACATTTTTCCACATGAAAGAATCAGCCGAGGTCTCCTCTGCGATCCAAATTGGTTAAGTTGTTAACTGGTTTGGCCACTAGATCTGGGTTTTTCAACACTAAATTATACATCGGAAAAGGGTAGTATATTATTGAAACCTCGTTAAAATTAAATCAATAATCTTCAATCCGGCTCGAAGTTCACTAGTTACCGATTTTGAGTACCCTCTTACGAGTCTCACGCCCTTATTTTTTAAAACTTCCTACCCCCTTTCTCAAAAATGATATTTTAAAATCCTGTGATCTAGATAGAGAATTACCGATTCGAATCAGATTCGATGGGTGGCGATCAGGTCCCTTCCTCCTACCCCACCTTGGTATTATTTTTTTATCATTTTTTAAACAAATTTTCACTAGTTCTGATAATCTAAATCATTAATACGACAGATCAACATTAGTAAAATCATTAATACGACAGATCAACATTAGTAAAATGGGTGAACAATCCAAATTCCAGAATTTAAAATACTGGCTAAATCGTTGTGTCACTATTCAGCACGGAGTCAACATTTGTTAGAAAAACTTTTGAGATAACACTGTCCAATTTGAATGGATCTAAATAGATTAGTAAGCAAAAGTGCATGGTGATGACTCAAAATATTTTCTTATTTTATATTTATGCGCATGATTTGTATAAGGCTGTGGCTCTAAACAATCAAAGTAAGCCACACTTTCAAATTGTATCGAAAGATGATCTTTTAGTATTGGAAATCTTTGTGATAGCCTAAAAGATTATTTTTATATGTAATTATAAAATTTAAAGCTCTAAAAATAATATAGATCAAGCATATCTATGAATGCAAATCTTGAAAATTGATGGTCCAAAAAATATATTACATGATGAACTATTTTCAAGACTTAAAATTTAATTTTTTTCTTATATTCATATATCTTGAGGTTGAAATGATCGATTTTTTAGCGTCTAAATGAATTTCGGAGGTATTCCTTAATTTGATTGTTAAGAGCCTAACCCTCATATAAACTTTTTCCTATATTTTATTTTTACAAATCATTTGAACCTCTTCCGGTCCTCCTAGTAGTTCCTATAAAGGTTCCACTTCCTCTCACTTCACAGAACAATCCTGCAGTGGTGGATAAAAGAATAGGCTTGAAAACCTTTCGAGTGAGGTTTCAAACTACAGGGCATTGGTTTAAAAATCTAGAGCACCAGCCATGGGAATTAGGGTTCCAAAAGTGGTTACTAAGTATTCTCCCGGCAGCCAGTTCATGTCCCCATTGAGATCAAGCTTGATGGTATTGTCAAGTCTGCAATTACTCTGCGTTTCAGCAGGTTTGAACTCCATTTTTGTCCAATTTAAAGCTCTAAAATTTCAGTTTTTTCTTCTAATTTGTAACTATGATAAACTTTTCCGTCAAAAAAGAAAAAAAAAACTTATGGTGAACTTTGATATCTCTTAGCTACATTTTCTCATTTTTTTGGGGATTTCTTTGGATTTTTTTCTTATGTGACTACACCTTTAGATCAATTCATTCAACATTTTTATGTCTGAGCTATATTTCTGGTGGTTCAATTTTCCAAATGGCAATGAGGAATGCAGCTAATTTTAGTCCTCCAATCCGAGGATTCGATATTCTATTATTTTGTTTAAAATAAAATGAATTGATTTAAAGACGAGATTGAAGAAATATTTGAGTCAAGTCAGGGCATGATTGTTAGCTATAGTTATCTGGCAAATGGGCATTTGCAGAAGAGGTGCAAGAGTGGTTCTAATAATTTTCGAGCAGAGACTATTGGGACACCTCTATATTTTGGAGCAACCCACTCTTTGATGGATTCATGAGGATGAAACCCTTTAACATGTTTGCTTCATGTAATGATTACTAATTTATCAGGTTCCAAGCCATTTTGTTTAAAGCAGGATCTGGTCCATCCTCTCCATGCACTCACTTGAACCTTGATCGATCTTAGTGAATAATACACTCACTTGGTGGTGGTGGTGGTGGTGGTGGTGGTGGTGGTGGTGGTGGTGGTGGTGGGTGCGAGTGCAGTGCTATTGGTGGTGTGGGTGTGGCGGTTGCAGTGGAGGTGTTTTGTATAAAATGACATATTTTTTAATGAATATTAAATGGTATCCATGCATGCTCATATCGCATTTTATGTTTGTTTTGACATGTTAAACTGTTTCTTATTGATGTTTTGGCAGCGTATCCATAGAGACAGCTTGATACCTTAGATTAGATCTTAACATGTGATTGATATGCAAAAGGGGCATGATTTCTTAAAAATATTATCTATTACATATTGTTATGCATCGTCATCATCATCGTCAAAGCCTTTTTCTAATTAATTGAGATCGGCTACAAGAATTATTGTCTTCCATTCTGCTCTATTAAAGACCATATCCTCATTACATGTTGTTATATTTATTTGCCTTATTTTACTCTAGCTAATAATTTATTTCTTTCTTAATATAAGTATTGTGATTATGGGTACTCCTACATCCGTTTTCGTCTTTGTATTGCCTGTGCCACAACTGAGAACTTGTTGGTCTTCTTACTCTTAAGCGTGCTTGATGAGAGACTTTAGAGAGTCGAATTCTACTGGACAATGATCACCTAAGACAAGTCAGAAGGCAAATTTTGTAAACATCATGCCGTTCCGTCCTGTCTTACAGTGGTTGTTGTCCATGGCATCCGACAAAGGGCGGTTGTGGAGATCAGGACTGGTTTCTATCGGTTCGTCCTATCACTCTGTTGTTTGAAATTTTTGTCACATTCACACACAATACAAATTGTTGTTTAGAGTTGCATCTCCCCCTTGGGTTTTTCTCTTGGTAGGTTAACTCAATGTTTGAATTATATGTATTATGAACCATATAACCACATAAAATGATCATGTAACCCATGGATACATACACCTACACACACAACAAATCTCATGAATGCTTCAATGTAACACCATTTTAGAATATCTTAAATGCACATTGTATATTCATTGCATTTTCTCTTTCCTTTTTTTTTAAAAAAGATTGACCTTACCAAATAACCTCCTTACCGATGTCATTACATGGAAGAGGCTTGTAGTTTTGGCCCCTCCCTCGACCACTTAATTTGTGATTTCAGGATTAAATATCTATTCGCTATCGAGAGTTTCATGAAGCTTTCATTTTGGCAATTTGGTGGCGCATATGGTAAGTGGGAATGGCAATATGAGTTTACTAGTCATGGTCAAGGTGCGGTGGTGATTGTAGTGGTGGCTGTGGTGGTGGGGGGTGAGAGTGCAGGTCGGAGGCATAGATAGCAAGTCGGGGAATATCAATAAATTCGCTCACCATAAAATTGAAAACAAATCGTTTTTATTTTAAAAAGTCGGATGAAAAAATTAAGTAAAAAATATGAATTGACAAAAATACTTCACGTAAGGATATCGTTTATATATCGGTTTAGGGATTAGGCTAAAAAAATCGGAGTAAAAAAATCGAATAAATTTATAATATTAGAAATTTTGAAATTCTAAAAAATAAAAATTATATCAAAACTATCAATAATTAATTCATCTATAAAACTTTATTAAATTAATATAATTAAATCAATTAATTTAGATGCTTCATGACTCTGATGCAATCATCTAATATCAAATACATAATTAACTAGTATATACCAACAAAAATTGTACCATATAAATCTACCCGTTACATATAAAAAACAAATATATTATATAAATTTATTTATTAAATATTTTAACTATAATATGATGATAAATATACTATATAAATTTATTCATTAAATACTTAAACATCACAGCTTCTAGAGGTACAAAAAAATACACGATTTTGTTTTCTAGTTGCAAGGGTTTAACTATAGTATGGTGACTATGGTCGCACCATAACTATAGTTAAAGTTTTTTGAATTTCTTTAATCGAAAAGAGGCGCGTAGAAGTTAGGGTTTCACAGCTCTGCGTTTACGGTTTGAGAGAGGAGGAAGAAGGAAGAGAGAGAAGAAGGTTACGGTTTAGAGAGAGGAAGAAGACGGAAGAGACGAAAATAGGGCTGGGCTCATAGCCAGGGGTTATAGAGAGAGAAGAAAGGAAGAAGGAAGAGGTCACGGGCTTCACAAACCCTAATGGAAGAGGCCCTAACTGATTTTTAGTAAGAGAAAAGGAAGATTGATTTTTAGTAAGAGAAAAGGAAGATGTGATGCTGATTTGGGATAGTTTGAAGAGGGTTTTTCTCTCTGATTTGGGATGTTGTTTGAGAGAAAGCCCTAACTATACTGATTTGTCAAGAGGCCTTAACTGATTTTTAGAGAGAGAGAAAGGAAGAGGGTTCATTTTCTTGGGGAAACAGCAAGCAGAGCTGAAGGATTAGGTTTGGGGACTAATCCTATATGTACAATTGCTTGCTCCTGTAAGTTTACAATTCACACTATATTGTTTATCTTTGTTATCACATAATCAAAAGCAAAATATTGACTACTTTGTCCTGTAGTCAGATTTTCTGCTTCTCATTCATCAGTGAAAGACTGTGTTTTGAGCTCTAATTTGTGCCATAAACAGTATTTCCATAAAAACAATTATCACAAATAATCACAGAAATCTGCACGTATATGATTTTCGTTACACAATGATTTACTTTACAAAATGATTTGCTATAAACAGTATTTCATTTACACAATGATTTTCCATAATAACTCTGAAATCTGCATCTATTTGTTTAAGTTTTTTTTAAAAAAGGGAAAAAAAATCGTTCAATCTGCAAGTGTGGCTTTGAAGAACATTGCGGGGATACAAATTTATATTTTAGGTTTTTTTTTGAAATATTTTTTTTTTTTTCAAAGGCATGAACGTAGCAATGGCTGCAATACACAAAACAGGAAAAAAAAATATCTTTCAAAAAAAAGTTATAGGTAAAAAAAGATGGGATTTTTTGGCCTGATTTAAATCGTATTATAGAAAAAGCTCGTTTTAAACTTTTTAAGAAAACTAGGCGACTTTTTCTGACCTTTCAAAAAATTCGCTGTTTAAAACTGTTCCATAAAAACGCCTATTTTTTTAAAAAATCACCGATTAAATGATGATTTGCTTACTAGGGTCGGAGGTGAGGATGCTGTGGCGGTGGAGGTGTGATGGTCCTGGCAGTGAGGGCCAAGCGGTGGAGTTGTGGTGGCGCTGGGAGAGAGGAGGGACGGAGGGAGGGACGGACGGAAAGGGAGGAGAGGCGATGGGATAAAGTTGGCCCATTTTATAAGTGAAATGAAAGTGAGTATTCCTCTTTCCTCCTCACTTATAAAATGGCATCTTGTTTACAAGGGTGCGGTTCGTATAGAGCCTAGGCTCTAAACAATCAAATTAGAGCCTACCTTCAAATAGTGGTTTCAATACTGGAAATTTTTGTGAGAGGCTTAAAATATATTTTCATCTTCATTTATAAAGTTTAAAGCTTAAAAAATAGTGTAGATCGACAGATCTATGAAGACTTGAAAATCTTGAGAATTGATAGTCCAAAAATGCGTTACAAAATACACTATTTCCAAAACTTGAAATCCATTTTTTTCTCATGTCCATACATCTTGATATCAAGATGATCAAGTTGAGGATATTTGGGCATCAAAACAACCTCTTCCGGTGATTTGTTTTTTTGGTAGGCTCCAATTTGATTGTTAAGAACCTCGGCTCTATATAAACTTTCCCCTATTTACAATGCACTTAATATATATTTAATGGTATCCAATTTTTTGTAAGAGGTTAACTTGTATATTTAATGCTATACATATATGCCCAATTTGATTGTTAAGAACCTCGGCTCTATATAAACTTTCCCCTTTTTACAATGCACTTAATATATATTTAATGGTATCCAATTTTTTGTAAGAGGTTAACTTGTATATTTAATGCTATACATATGTACCCAAATCTGATATTTGCATGTGGTTTCCCATGTTAAACTGTTACCTATTGTTGTTTTGCATTGTATCCATACCAGCTCTTAGAGATAGCTTGAGTACCTTATATTAGGTCTTACCATGTGATTGATGTGCACAAAGGGCATGGTATTTTTAAAATATGATCAATTATCATGTTGTATTAATTTGCTTTATTATATTTTGGTTAATTTATTTTTATTTTTCTTAATATAGGTAATGTGATTATGGGTACTCCTACATCCGTTTTCGTCATTGTATTGCTTGCGCCACCACTGGGAACTTCTCACTCTTTAGCGCCCTTGACGAGAGACTTCAGAAAGAGGAATTCAATAGGACAAGGATCGCGTAAGCCAAGACGGACAGCAAATTTTATGATCACCATGCTGTTCCATCTTGGCTTACTGTGATCGTTGTCCATGGCATCCAACAAATGGTTAGCGAAGGGTGGTTGTGGAGATCAGGAGTGGATTCCATTGGTGTGTCGTAAAACTATCTTTTGTGTAATTTATGGTTTTTATTTGTCTCATGCATGCACAACACAAATGGTTGTTTAGAGTTTATCTTCCCTTGGGTTTTTCTCTTGGTACCTTAACTCAATGTGTAAATTATATGTATTATGATCCATATGACTATAGAAAATTATTCTGTAACCTAGGGAATAATGTGGTACACACACACTTAACAAATCCACTTAAGGCCTCAATGTAACATTATTTTAGAATATATTACATTGACAACCCATCTTCATTGCGTTTTCCCTTTCACCCTTTTTTTTTCCTCTTTTAGTATTGATGTTTGGAAACTTTGGTGAGTCTGAGTGGATTCACCTAAGTCTCTCGGGCTTGGTGCCCTGCGTGAGCTTGTAGAAACCCCCAACCTCACCACCTCCCCAAAAGAAAGAACAACAAAAAACGCACACATAGAGCGACAAAAAAAAAGGGTTTATATTTAAGCATTGCTGTACCTGGGCGACTTATTAGTAACTCCCTTGAGTACTATAGC